ACTGACTGTCAGATGTTTAATTTTGACAACAACATATCCAGTCTATTGACAGCAAGTAGAACCAGTTTTCTTCTCACTTCTTCTCCATCATCTCTATTCTGTCAATTAATTCCATGTTGATTGGCTGAATTCATTAGTATGTCTTATTTTTAAATAGAAGGCATTTGGTATTGAAGTGGAAGAGTGGTAGTCATAGATGGGTTGCTTTTAAAGCGTAGGTATCACCCAGAGCAGAGCAATTGTTCCATAATTTCCTGTTACAACTTGTCAAAGGGTCTCACTTCAAAAACAATAATAATAAAAAACCTTAGTACCTACATTATTTTCAGCTGGGATGCTAGCTCAGTGCAGGCTCAGCTGAACTTGCTGTTAGCAGTTCATCTTAGTGACAAGGCTTCATTCTATCTATTGAAGGCTTTGTTTTCATGTTACAGCATTTTTCCATTGTCTGCAACTGAGAGCAGATCATTCAAGCTCTTACATTTCCAGTGCTGTGGATACAAAGCAAAAAAGGCAGCTCTTGTTCAAAAGAGCTGCTTATCCTGGGTGTTTTGTTATTGCTGGGGTGAGCTTTGGATAGATGGACAACAGATGCTCTTTCAAGGGACAGGTTCTCGATATTCTTCAACTGTGTTTGTCACAGGAGGCTGTATTTGCTTGTAGCCTTCAAAATAAGGCAGTATGAAACAGAGTGGGGACCAAAACCTTGGATTTTATTAACAGTAGTTGAAGCTCCTCAGGCTGTAGCTAGCTGTTGTCAGTAGGCAGCACATTAGCCCAATTGATAGGTGACAATTACAGAGACCACAAAGGAAAACCTGAAGCATGTTGTCCCCTAAGTCTTTATGCAACAATGGCTTATTGCAATGAGATTAAATTTATGGTAATGAGTACGTTATTTGGAGGATGTGTTCCTTGTTTTTGATGACATGAAGCTGGGCGTTACTGTCAAAATGGTGGAGGGTTTGACTCTCCAGGACAAACAGGAAAATGCTGGTAATATGAACAGCATTAAGGAAAATGAATGCAGAGTCACGAACCTAGAGGTTTAATAATGAGCTTTCAGCTCATACCAGAAATTCTTATCCCTTAAAAGCTATGGAGACAGAGAAAACCTTGGAGTATTGGTTAATCATAAATTAGCTTTGGGCTGCTGGTCTGGTATGAAGTGTGAGTAAAAGGTAAGTGCAGTTCCAGAATGTTGTGCAGATGAATTCTTCAAGGGAGATGGGGAAATATTAAAGCAGTTATGCTTGTAAAGCTGCACCTGGAATTGTCTTTACAATGCTGGTCACCCATGCCAGAAACATGAATTCAGCTGGGGCAGGTGCAGTGAGCGGCTGTGGGGATTAGCAGTGAGTAGTAAAATATAGAGGAGTAAACTGGAAGAGTTTGCCTTGTTTGTCCTAGTAGAATAAAGGCTAGGGAAGAATGCAACTGTGATTTATAAACACAATAGCGAATTAAACACAAGGAGTGAGAAGGCATATTTAAGCAGAAGAACAATATTGCCTTGAGCAAATAGGTGTGTGGCTCAGCTACAATCAGTTTTTAACAAAACATTCTGAATTGGAGAAAGAATCCAGAGTTCTCTATAGATGAGACAGATTTTAATACATTTATAGAGATGAATGCATGAAATCCTTACCCGTAAAGAGAGATCTGGCTCACAAGGTCCCTGCTGTGTGTTCCAAAGCTTTCTGTTGTTAATAATGTTTTCATTTTGATTTTGGTTAGATAGATATTGTGTACCAGTCTCAGATAATGGAACTCCTTTTTGAACTAAATACTTATAAATGCAAGTCTGATCTTGGACTAAATCACACAGACTCTAATTCAGAGAGGTATAACTCAAAAATGCACCCACCTTGGAAGATTTCAGCTTAGGAACATGAAATTGGGGAACCTCCTTCACCATAGTTTTGCTTCCTCATCCCCACTTGTGTGTGGCAGCCCCCTGGCTTCCCATTTGTTTCTGCAGGTGCCCTACGCTGCTGAGCTGAAGAATCCTTTTACTACTGTTCAACAGCAACCATGGGAGGATGCCCATGCTAGGTGGGGGAAAAAGAGTCTTGTTTACAAAAAAAAAAAAAAAGTTAGCTTGGAATTCCTTAATTGCATCTAAAAATTAATCAGTCAAAGGAGTGGTAAACTGAGATAATAATGTTTTTCTTTTCATGCCTCTTTCTGCATTGGTGTAATCAGATACCTTTCTCTTCAGTTGAGAGACAGAATCACAGAATTGTAGGGGTTGGAAGGGACCTCCAGAGATCATAGAGTCCAACCCCCCTGCCAAAGCAGGTTCCCTACACCAGACATAATGGAAAAAAAACCCCAAACAAATGTAGGTTGCTCCTTTTTGCTTTTTTTTTCCTAACTACTTGGAGTACTGGGCAGGCTGATCTAGTGGTTGGCAACCCTGCCTGGGGCAGGGAGGGTTGGAACTAGATGATCATTAAAGTACTCTCCAACATAAGCCATCCTATGATTCTCTGGTAGTGTTCTGGTCACTGGTTTATATGGCAGTCAAACTTCCTTTTAACCTTACTAGTCTCAGATTTTCAGACACACTCCCTGTACTTCTTTATTCTCTTCAGTTGCCTGTGTCCAGTGGTAATGCAACATTACAGCTCACACAGGAAATACACTCAGGGCACTGAAGGAAAACCCTGGGATGCCCCAGGCAGCAGTGCTGCTAGCCCATTTCCTATTGCCTTCCAGACAGACTAAGTCCTAGCTACATCTTAAAAGAAGTGAAAAAATGGCTAACAAACACTATGTAATGTGAGATCACAGTAACTATTAAGTGACCTAGAAACTGAGAAATGTGGTAATTGTGAAGTAGCTGCACTCAGAAGTTTGCTTTGAATTTGCTCTCAGTGTGAGCCCATTAAGGAAGATGAGGAGAACACGTGCACAGAAAGTATATGAACTGCAACCCAGAATAAAGTTGTATTTAAAAACACCTTATAGCAAAAGGTCTTACTTTTCTGTTCAAATTAACTTCTCCTTTACATAATACCCTTACCATTTCCCAGTGCCTGGAGAAAGATTTCACACCTTCAACCATTTGAGCAGATTGCTTGTTTGTTAATGTTCTAGCTATTGTTTCCTTCTGGAAGCACTGGAATTATCCTCTAGCTACAAATCAGGGCTGCCTGTGTGATAGGGTTACACCTAGCCACCTGCTGTGGCTGTGTTACAATACCATAAAAGTTTCAACTCTATTATTTCTGTAAATTGTTTTTCAAGGCAACTGTACAAAATGTTCATATGAACTTTTTTTTTGGTCTTTTTTCCCCCTAGACTTACTGTCTTGTGTTTTGAAATTGCTCTGCTTCTCTGAGAAAGGTTTTTGAGCTCTTAATAATCCATCATAGAAACTTTTGCTGTTTAAAATTCTGGAGCCATGACTTGGCACTAGGAGCAGCTGCACAAAGATCTGGTTGGAGATATCACTCACAATCCTTCTGCCATCTGAGTTAGGCCGGGCTGTCACACTACTTTAGGAACTCCTGAAAGGTTCAGAATCAACTGTAAGAGAGAATTTTTTAGCATGTTGATATTACAATTCCCTTAGACACTCTTGCTTACATCCTGAAGTTGCTCAGCCACACTGATTCTTAAGCTCTAACCTCAGGCTTGGTGAGATTCCAGTATTAGGAAAGTACAGGAAAGGCATCTGGTACACGTGGTCCCCAAAACCACAAAACAGCAGGGGAGTAGGAGAGGGATAGAAGACTTGTCAGGGCTGCTTTCAACCTACTGACCCAGGAACTTATCAATCTAACCTGATGTTTTGTTTCCAAGTCTTGTTACTGTCTAATACAAAGGTGGGTCTCAATCACTAACGAAGTTATAAATGCCATGCTATTCAGGGCTGTAGGATAGATGTCTAACTAGTGTGTATTTTACTGCATATTTCATTGCATAGTTATTCTACACCTTGAAATCTGTTAACAGAAGAAATTCTGAAGAATTTGTGTCAGAACAATCATTTGCCTCTATCATCTGAATGCTCATTTGAAGGATACTGGAAACTGGATTCAGTGCTCTGCTTTACAAAGAAGTAGAGCAGGTATGAGACCAGTTTCTCTTCACCTACCCCTGCTTGGCAAATGTGCCTTTATCCAGGTTTTCCATCCTATTTGTTTTAACAGCAGAGGAAGTCTGACAAGACAAATTGTCTAGCATAGGTAGACGCTTTCCTCTGGGCCAGCAGTCAGTCCAGAACTAACTTCTGATGTAGAGAGCAATTTTCTATTTGCTTGTTCTCTTCCATAATACTCTAAAGCTCTTTATGCTCAAGGAATGCTCTCCCCAGTCAGGATTTTATCTCTATCTCTCATCAAAACACCTTGATCTTTACTTTAAGAACTGCTAAGCAGGTCCTGACTGCAAATCAAAAAAGTAGGGATTTCAAGGTGGATAGTGAATAATCATACTGACAGCTCTGGCTTGTAGGCAGCTAGAGCACAAGACACACATGGTGACAGTATGATTAGAGCATAACTAAATTATTAAACAAGACAGTAGTTAAAGTAAAGTAGTCTTTTGGGGCCACTATTTATCACCATTCACTAACAGTAAAACCAAGCACCCTGAAGAACTGTTTTATACATACATCATAGCATCAGACTAAAACAAGGCATACCTTGTTTTATAATCCTTACAAAAACAAAGTAAAATTAATTGTGCGGGACTTAATTGTGTGGGAAAGGTATTGGCACAGCTGGCATCGGGCTGTGGGAAATTCTTCATTTGTGATTTTTAGGAATGGTAATTTTTTTTTTTACAGGTGACAGTATGGTCTAAGACATTAAACATTCAGGAAGATTCCACATGTTACTGTATCACAATAGTTTTCCCTCACCCTATACTCCTTATGTGTGCAAGCTGTAAACTGTGACTGAAAACAAACGATGTAAAATCAAATCTACAAACTTAAAACTCCATACTTTTTCCAGCTTTAGAAAAACAGAAACTACAGCAATAACAACTGCTTCTCAGTTGTTTAATTTGTCTCCTGGTGTACTAACATTATAGCTGGGAAACTTATTTCAAGCTACTTTTGTTCTGAATGAGCTTCCATGAAGGAATAGATGGCATTACTTGTATGGAGGGTTACACTATAGAAAATAAAACGAACAGTAAAAAATTAACCACTGATTATAGAGAATTACAATGAAGGCAGAGAAGGATTAATCAGCATCTTTTCCCTGAAGAAGTCTGGAATTCATCCTTCTGATGATGGATGTAACCAGAGATCTGCAAGATTTGTATACATAGAAGGTACTTCATCTCCTGCTGAGAGTTTGTTAGAATGAGGATGGAGGGAGCTGTTGTTTGTTTGCTTTTAAAATCAACTATGTCTATGCTGTTTTCTTGATTTCATTTCTATTTACTTGTTGGCAAATGGACTCTCAATAACTTTGTTCCATTACAGCTTGTCTGGTTGTTTCCATTACCAAAGTCTATGTTCCAGAGAAAAATCAAGCTCCCTGGCAACCATGCAATTTTCACATGAAAATTCAGGTTAGTTCTTTAATGAGCCAGATACCTTACATGCCCTCTGGGGATGGAAAAAAGCAGCTTCACAGATGTAAGATAAATAACTTCAATCTGGTGTTTTTAATATCAGTAAGAAGTGGCTCTTAGTAAGATATACATGTTTACTTAATGATTTGCTTTGCCTTAATTAATAATGGAAAATTATTATTCCATCCTGCATAACAGCATATCATTGTCTTAAACTGTTGGTGTTTTTTTTTCTTGCACAAGTACATTTTTAAACTATCCCAACAGCCTTCCTGCTTTTGCTGACCAGCAAATCTGATACTATGAAAAAGAAGCAGATTTCTGATGCTGAAGGACACCGTTGTCATGTTTCTTCACTTCTTCTAGCTGAATCATTGGGAATTGTACTTGTTTTTCAAACCATTTGGCTACTGTGAGCAGCTGCTTCTCTTGGAATGAACGCCCAATGAACTGAAGCCCAATTGGCAAGCCTCGTCCTGAAAGAGCTGTAGGAACATTTACGGCTGGCAGTCCTGAAACAAAAGAAGTTATTCACACAAAGGCTTGCTATTAAACAAATCCAGTTAGAGTCATTTTTGTAACAATTCTGAGAGAACCAGAGCAGTTCAGTAGCATTTTAAAATCTACCCCTACATTATGAATCATTTTACAAATGTCCACTGTACTTATGTACAGAGTTGTTAACTTTCCATTGTAAGTTAACAAGAGGGGGGAGGTATCTCAATTCTATGTAAGAGGTTAAAAGGTTGAAGGGAATGGATGTTACAGGCAGGAGAAAACACAGTTGAACTCCTGCCCCTGCTCACCAGCCATGTTTGCAGCCTGTGTTAGGATGTCATCTTCCGTGCTGCGGGTTCTGTTGTCTTCTTTGATGAATTCCATATACGGGAGTGCATCGCTCAGAGTGGTAGGAGTGAGTAAAATATCAATACCACTTCCAAAAACCTTCACAAAGTCATTGGCAATGAGACGTCTGACTTTCTGTGCCTTGACAAAGTAATCCTCATAATTCCTAGAAAGAAATAGGGGTGTGAGGGTGGAATGCTACGATTCTGAAAATACACAACAATTGCTTAGTTACCATAGAAAAGATAAGCTCTATATTCCTCCTGATTAAGAGGCTAACATGTATTTGAGTTTCTCATATACCACAAGCTTAGTCACCAAACACAGTGCTTACGCTCTCATAGCCACAAAGACGTCAGAGAAAGAAGACACAAGAAAATTCTGTTGAAGAAAGGTGAAGGGAAAACAAAACCCCAGTTTAAAATAGCTGAGGATCAGAATAATGCTATATGGCCTTTCTGGAACTAAACTGTATATTGGATTTCACTGCAGAAAGGCACAGTAAAGTCTAGAAATACTATAGAAGCAAAGCAGGTTTGCAAAATAGGCGTTAAGCTCTAGGATTCAATCCAGCTAGACACTTAATGAATGTGAAAAACTCCTATAATCTCTGCAGACATCCAAATGGACTTGAAACCAAGAATGTGTTTCTAGTACGCTTCTTACTAAACTATGCTCTTTCCTCTATTTTTTTTCCCTATATTAGTGTTGGGTTTATGGCTTTCTAAACTGTCTTTATGCTATCCTGAAGCAGAAACAAATCAGTTAGCTTTATATTTATTGTTCTTTTTAATTTCACATGTAGAACTGGCAAACATGTAACAGAATTCATAACTTCAGAGTTTAGTTTCAAAAGCAATCACCAACAGTTACTCTTTAAAAAAAAATTAAAATGCTGATAAATCAAACCTACTCTGTTAATTCTGATGCAGTGACTATAAACAACCATCAATGCATGAATGATCACATAGTTATTTTATAAAAAGCAAGAACAAAATATTCTGTGAAATGCACTGTTTGCAGGAAACAGAGATGTTTGTACTTTGTCTCAAGAACGCTTGTAGAACCCTGGATTTTGTTCTTCAAAAGTAACTTACTGTTGCCAGAAACAGGACTCTCTTGTTCAGTCCTAATGGAACACAATCTTATGCTCCTTCACAAAAAAGTGAGCTGCATGAAATTTAAAGCAGTCTTTGGAAAGCTGACCTGGACAGTTGTGACCAGAATGAGCATACTTGGCAGGACTATCGGCATTCCATAAAAGCTGCTTCTTATCTACTGACAGCATTCCTGTCTATGAGAGTAACTTGAAGTCACTTCTGATGAATGCTGTTGCTGAGGGAAGGAGCTTTGTCATGCGCTTGTTTTGAGACAAATTACAGGACCAGTTTCTCTGTTAGTATCTAAACAAGTTAAGTATGACTCCTGCTTTCTCTAACATACTAGGATAGTAAATGAGGAGCAAAAAATGGAGATGAAAAAGTTAAATACATTAGTTCAGGCACCTCTGTCTTCTCTCCACTGCATACCAAGGCAGAGAGCTATAGTTAATTGAACTGTGTATCATCTGTCTTGCTCTAGAAGACCTCAGCAGAACACACCAGCAGTTTTTCTATGCAGCTTTAATGAGACTAATACCTATAGAACTTACAATGTTACAAGAGAGATGGCTTTACTGTGATTTCAGTGTTGTCCAACAGGATATATTTTTCCTTATTTTAACTATTAGGTGACAACAATGCTCTGATGGGGAAAAAAAATAATCACAAGGATGTTTTACTTAATTCAGAAGGCTCCCTGGGTAAGGAAAAACATTTTCATTCACTGCTAACAGTTCACTGGTTACTACATAGCTAAAGCAGTAATAACAGTAGAAGTAGCTACTAGCTTGAGGACAATTCTTTTTCATGTCTTGAGGAACAATTCTTTTCTATTTGCTTAACAAATTATGAACTTAATAAAGTTGAGTTTGAAGATGTGTTCCACTTACTGTTTCAACAAGAAGTAGTTTCCTGATAGAATTCTTCCTCTTACAACATCATTAAATCCTTCTCGTCGTGTTGCAGCATACATGCTTTCTGTGGACTTGTTCACGTCAGAACGATGTCCTGGAAAGAAAAGGCAATTTAGAAATAGTTTTTGTGATTCTTAAGATTCAATAACATAATGGTACACATCATAGTACAATAGGCTGCAGTTTGCAGCAGACTGATGTTCTGCTATTCTGGAAAAATCCACAAACCGTATTCCTTCCATGTTCCATTACAGAGAAGATTTTAAGCCCAGACACTCACGTGTGCACAGTTTCAGTGTGCACAGAGTGAAACACAATAAAATATTTATTTATTCAGCTCTTATGTGCACAAGGTTTTTATTCTATTCCAATCCAAAAGAACATCAAACATTCAACTATGAAACACATGCTATCAAAACTGATATTTCTTAATGCCACTTAGCAAGGTTTCTGTTGCCTGAGAACAACAAAAAATAATAATTTAAAAGGCCTTACCATATTCCAGTCCATCAAACCTGGCCATATTTGATGCCACTTCTGCAGTGCAGAGCACATGATAGCAGACAATTGAGTAACGGGTGTGTGGTAAACTCACTTCAACTACTTTAGCGCCTGCATTCTTAAAGAGGTCAGCAGCCTTTGACCAAACAGCCAGAATTTCACTAGAAAGCCCTGGTACGTGGTACTCCTTAGAGAAAAACAAGAATAAATGATGTTTACTTTTACTGGCCACCAACACATAAATACTATTTGCTAAAAATACTTTGAAACTATTAACACTGTGTGCTTTTAAATACTTACTGCAGCCTATCACATCTACTAAATATTATAAAAGCAAGCAGTACTAAATAAACTCTGTCATCTGAAGAATATTATCTTCACCTTAGCAAATTGTAACCCATAACACAATCCATAATGGAATTTCAGCAGTTTTCTTCTGGAGAAGTGTCCACTTGTTCATCTAGTCATAGAGACCACACCGCATGGCTCTACAGTTCATGGGTAGAAGCTGTGCAGATGTAAGCCCTAATACTAGGGGTATTTTCAGCAGGGAATAAGCTATGCTCACAGCACATCAGCAGCTACTAGCACACCTCAGCCAAACAAGCAACACACCAGAGAATTACAATCACAAGGTTGGGATAGGACTGACTTAGACAAGCAACACTCTTGTTTTAAGATATTTGCTTCAGTTCAAGCTCAAAATAACTGGGTCAAAATACCATGTGATCTCTGAACAGCAACGACTCACACATATTATCATAATATATGCATTAACCTGTTTGGGTTAATCTGTAGCAGCAGAAAACAATTATCCAAGGGATATGAATAATTTATCAATACTACTATTTTAGATTTATCAAAATCTAAACAGTATGCAGAAAATTAATTTTCTAGATGTATTTTTCTTTTCTTTTTTTTTTTTTTTTTTTTGCATTTCACAGATTCTGAATAATTAACTGTCAGTGGGCATCTCTTCTTACAAAACTGAATCTTTTGGTTTAACTGTTCTGTCACAGGTTCAAGTACTGGGAATCAAACCAACAAATCTGACACACATTGTTTTTTTGAAGACAGAACCTTTGCAAAACTATAAAAGGTAATTAAAAAATAGGCTGCAGCTCCAAATGTCATGCTTAAATTACAAGCATACTTCCAAGAATGACTGAATTACGTGCATTACAAACCAAATTACTCGATGAAAACATTAGCGGCTATCGTGAAGTTTTCTTTCCATCCCTGTTTGAGCTCTGTGAGTCACAGTTCCTTGTGCCATTCAATTGCCTTTAAAATTATGCTGTATCACAGTGCCATTTAAACAAGGATTTCAAAAAACTGCACAAGTAGTACTAGTACAACTAACCTCGCTGTAAAAAGTCACTAAAAATAACTAGTATGAAGTTGTGGAGGTATCTGATGAAAAAGCTACAGAGAAGCAAGATCTGAAGCCCCTCATTTTCCCTGGAACTTCCTGGCAGCATTTCCCACAGTGATGACAAAGCATTTAAGACAAAGTGTTAGCAGATGCTCGCTCTGAATCACCTATGTGGGCAATAGAGCACATACTGCTCTTTTCTGGGAGCTGCTCATACTGTTTTCACTTTTCAAATTATGAGAGATTGGGTGGTGACAGGCAATACACAAATACTTTCTTTTGGAAGGAGTTACATTTGCCATCCCTGTTCACAACTGTTGATGGGATTTAAACGTTACCTTAGGAATTCCTATAGAGAGCTTGCTGACATCAGTCAAACTTGGCAGTGCAAATGGCTGAAAGATGTCCTGAACTGTGGTAGAGTCTTTAGGATCATGTCCAGCAAGTGAACCTGAAACATGACACGGCACATTGAAGAGCAGGAAAATGCACACTGGGTAGATGGAATTCAGCCTGCTTTTTGAACAAAGACATAGAGCATACAAAGATATATGTAGTAGTAATACCTAGCACAACAGCTGCATCATCCACACATCTGGTTAGGATTCCTGGCACATCCATGGAGTTCACTAGAGGAATGAGACCATGGCGAGAGATCAGTCCATATGTTGGCTTTAAACCTACTACACCACAGTGAGCAGCAGGATTTCTGGTAGATCCTCCTGTGTCTGACCCTAAAGCTCTACGGTTTCAAAAGGGTTACCGTTAGTAAAATGATTCAGAACATCTCCAAACAATACTTATGGCTTTAAGATGCATGGATTTAAAAATGTCTGAGTTCTTCCCAACTAAAAGTCATAACCACACACTCTAAACATTAGCCCACTCCCTACATCTGCTATTTTTCAGCTGTTCTCAGCATTTTTCTTAGGACCTCTGAATTAGCCCCTGGGAGAGATTGGTTCTCTCTACAAATCAGAGGTAGATAAATAGAAATCAGGCATTCAGAATAGGGCTCTAAAGACCCACTTCCTACTTCTCTGTTGACCAATTCTGTGGTCTGTGAAAGATGTCTTGTGTTTTAGTTTATGATTTTCAGATATTTGTGATCATTTATTCATTAATGAATGATGACATGAAGTATCACAATCCAGCATACAAAGCAGTGGTAACACAGTATGCTTTTTGCCCTCAATAACAAGGCAGGCTTTTCAAAGTCTAGCTAAGACGTTCTTCCTGTTTCCAAGCCTACAAAGTATAGTAGAACACCCAATTTAGAATAGTTTCAATGCAATTCTTTTTCTTCTCTTTAAGTTAAATTCCTTTACTGCTCTTTCACAAGTGAAATCTTGTTCCAAACTGAAATTTTCACTGTAAAAATTTCAATGGAATAGCAAAGTCACATTGAAATTGAGGTTCTCTTGGTTTTAGTGACTTTAAACTCAAAATCCACTTAAAAAATGGAAGTACTTTAATCAGAATAAAAAATAAAACCTTAAGTTTTATTCATAAAACGATGGGATTTTTAAAAGTAGTAATCTCTGGGAGCAAAAATATTTTAACAAGTAGACAAATATAATACATGGGTAAACAAAGACATAATAACTAAAGATTATTTAAAACATCTTCCAGTTAAGAACACAACTGAGCACGCATTCTCAAATGTAACTCTCAGTGTAAATTTTTAAGGAACAGATTTCCTTTAACAGATGGATGAGGAAGAGAGTATAAACAATCAATTTGTTAAATAGTGTGTTGCTATTCCATGCAGATAATTGTTGTAAAAAATTTTTTTTAATAAACTGAAACTCTTTAACTTTTTAAAAACAGATAAAATTCCAAGTATCTTTATAAGCTGGCTTCCTGTTTTCAAACTGGGTATTTGAAAGCTTTTAGATGTCAAATCCCACGTATCCATATTATCACATACCCAGCTATAAAAACAGAGGCCAGGAGGAAGGATTTCTAAACTGTTACATGTCAACAGACACCTCATCATTTGCTGAATTAAGTTTTCAGTGTGTACATGTTTAACATACTTAAAGAGGTAGAGGATATGTCTCTGTTATTTTTAAGAGTATGTGGGAATAACAATAATACTGTCATTCCTTTACTGCCATTATCACTTTGCCTCGTGCAGTGCAAAGTGCTCACATCAGTACACTGAATAACATTCTAAATGAATAAGCCTTACTCTGCCTACAGGAAATCATGCTGGCTTCATGCTATGCCATGAAAAACTGAAGATGTTGAAATAAATTCTCATAAGCCAGGGCAAATAATGCTCCCATCTCAGACAAGATCAACATCTTTTCTACAATTTAATCCATAAACTGCATTATTAGAAAATTACTAAGTGAAAACCTTACAATGTATTTCAAGACATTTCATTAAAAACAATTCCAAAAAGCTTCTTACGCAAAACATGTGAAAGCTGATACAGCAGCTGCACTGCCTCCAGAGCTCCCTCCTGTTATTACCCAGTCAGAGTTTTCAGGCTCAGAATCAGATCTGGGTACAGATTTTTCCTTGTACTGTCTTGAATAACTCCAGGGATTTCTGACTGGTCCAAATGCCCCATCTGTACTCCCAGATCTAAGACAGAAGAAATAGGCACAGAAGTGACAGACAACACACTGCTTTCCAAGTTTTTCTTTATCTGGTTCCTCATCCCTTACTCTAATAAATTCAATTTCAACACAAAAAGACTGGCATATGTACAGTTTAGTGCAGACAGATAACGTGCACAAGTCGAAATATTCAAAGGGACCATCCTCTGCCACAGAACCTCAGCTTCTGTTAGTAGGTGGCAAGGGTGGCTGCCCAGGGAGGTCGTGGAGTCTCCTTCTTGATGCTCAAGACCTGCCTGGATGCCTACTTGTGTGACCTGCTGTAGGGAACCTGCTCTGTGCAGGTGGGTTGGACTCGATCTCTGGAGGTCCCTTCAACCCCTACAATTCTGTGATTCTGTAAGGGGTGGGAAGTAGGTGGGCTTTAACATTCCTTTCAACATGAGTCATTCTGTGATTCTAAAGCCACTGGAAAGGATGCTAACAGAAAAATATAAAACAAATTTAACATACCTAAAGGTAAAACTATCTATCTGCTATAAAACAAAAGTACTCTGGCTTCCCAAGCCTGCATTTGGAAAAAGATGAGCACTGCCTTGTGGGACACTGCTCTGGAGAAGGGGGGAAAAGCCCCGCAATACCAGCAACAGGTGCTCCTCTGTAAATAACCCACGATTACTTACTCTATAGCTCTCCCCTGAGGTCACAGTCTGCTGTTTCAGAATGTTAGACTGGCTTGTTAGAATCTGGTTTCAGCCTGTGATAATCTAGATGCAGTCTGCCACCAGAAGCAGGGAAGAGCTTTCCACCTTCCTTGCAACTGCCACCTCAGGTTCCCCAACTCCATAATGTTGGTGTTATTAGCCAGATCAGCTGAGCTGGCAGTTTACACAGTTGAAAATGAACCTAATTGAGACATTGCTTTTCAGCTGGATCAGCTTCCTCATGAAGCTGATGGTGCAGCCATGTTGGTGATGGCATGAGACCATGCAAATACACAGTACAGAAAAGAGAGGCTGAGGGTGAGATAACCCTTATTAGCAGAATCCTGTGTGTTAGTGAGCTTAGATTACTTCTAGCCCTCCCTAATAAAAGGGTTTGGTTGCTTTTTCTTCTCCTCTGCTTTTTCCCTGCTTTCCCCCTGAGGCATGTCTCTGACATGGAAATGACTTTATCCAAAATGATCCAATCCAAGTATTTTAACCCAACCAAACCTATGCCTTTGGCTTAGGAAAAATAAAAACAAAGCCAAAACACAACACTTAATTTTTCTCATTGGTAGCTGAAGTCCTGGACATTGACAGAATCGTTAAGGTATGAAAAGACCTTTAAGATCATCTAGTCCAACCATCGACCATTACCACTAAACCATATCTTTCAGTATCCAGCAGATCTGGTGACAGAGGCTCCTGTCTCTGCTCAGGGCTGCCCCAGACTACTGCATGCCGCTGCCTTCATTGATTTGTCAGAGAACAAATTTGTGACAGTATTTTCCAATTTCTTTTTCCTAGCAGAATTCACCAATATTAGGCAACAGTTGCACAGGCAATTCAAAGTGCTGCTCTAAATTAGCCCGTTCACAACAAATCAGAGTACTCATACATGTTAATCCAGTGGTTGGGACAGATGGTAACTGTCTCAAGGCCATAACAATAATTAGTTAAGGGCAGAAACCACCAGTAAGAAAGGAGAAAAAAAAAGTCAGCAAATAGCCGGTGTGGTAACCAGATCTATTTGCTACTGGATATGCAAGTCTGTTTGCCTTCTGCTTTCTGCAAAGGCTATGCTACTCTTCCCCCTGAAACACAGCCATAGTTGAACTCTATGTTCATAAAAAACTGACATGTAGATAACTTACACAACAGTAAAAATGTTCATGCAATATTTGAGAAACTCAGGCAACTCTAAATTCTTTTTGCAGATTAGCGTTCGTTATTTTCTAACATGACAGAAAGAAGAGTTTAAGGATTATGCATAGAACAGATGGTGTGTAATCTGTTTAATGTAGAATCACATGTTAAAAATAATAAACATCACTCACCCCATTGCAAATTCATCTAGGTTTGTTTTTCCTAAAAGCACAGCTCCCTGATCCAGTAACTTCTGAACCACTGTAGCATTGTAAGGAGAAATATAACCTGAAAGCAATCAAGTGGAGTGGTTGATGAGATATGGTTGATTTCTAAAAGTAGCTACTCTTCTGAACACTTAAAATTTGTCACTATTTGTGCATAAAAGTTACCACTGCACAGTGCCCAAATTTTGCTTCAACAGACAATATGGGTAATTCTCAAGATTTAGCAAAAGCAAACTAAATACTGTTTTGTCTGTAATGCTTTTTTTTTTTCTCTCCACAATTTACAATACAGTAATTCTGGATTATACATTTCCAGAACTAAGCCTTCACACAAACAAGTTACCACAGCAGTAGCAAATTATGGCATTTGGGCAATTTGCAGACGAGTGCTAAGCTATCTCAAATTATTCCCCTTACGATGAGATGGGGGAGCATATTGTTAATCACAAGCTGAAATACAAACTGGCTCTCCTGTGACCAACTGTGTGCACCTTCAGCCACTTTGACCTCATATAAACAGTGAGTTCTGTGCCACTTCCACGAGATCCTGGGTTGTAACTAACTTCCTCTGTGAATAATGACAGTGATTTCTCCAGCCCCACTCTCAGCTGGAACAAGGACAGCATCACTCCTAAAACTCTCTACCATTAATCTACAATAAAGCACAATGGGTCTGAGAACGTGCTTAAGGAAAAACATCTCAGCTAATGGAACACATTCTTTAAATTGCAATACCGTATTTTGTTTCTTCTGTTAAGGTAATAGGATTACCTCAGGTAAATCAGCAGAAGTTTATCTTTCTCAAGACTTCAAAGTTTCACTTTATGCAGAATGAAGAAGAAAATAAGAAATGTTTACTACTTTCACTTTCACTATGGAAACATTAGAGTGTCTTGAAAATTTTCCTGGAGTGTTAATAGAAACAATAAGCTTGGGAAATTTTAAAGAATTAAAAACTCATACAAACCTGTTCTGTAAAGCAGGAATGCAGAGAATTGTTAATATCTACTCTTCCTACAGCAATATGAAAGCACTACATAATGCAACGGTTATAAACAGAACACAAAAGGACTGTTTGCATTTTGCTGGACACAACAGCAAACACTACTGACTGCTCTCCTCTGTAAATCTAAGAGTAACACGTGAACTACAGAATGACTCCATTTAGATAGGCCAGAATAACCACTGCATTGTTAATGGCAGCGTAGATACATGAATAAAGGAGAAAATGCACTTGCATAAGAAAAAGATACACCTGTAATACTAGATGATCTTGACAGAGGAAATCAGATAAACACATTTCCTCAAATCAGCTCAGCTCATTTTTGAAAACATTTGGATCTCTGGAAGACTTCACTCCACTAAGCCTCTGAGGAGAAAAGACAGAGCTCCAATTTCACCTTAAAAGCTCTACTGCACCTCTCATACTGTACCTTTTAGCATGTTTGATGCACATGTTGTCTCAATGCCAGCTGTATTAAAGTTGTCCTTCACTGCAATGGGAACTCCGTCCAGCTCACTCAGTGGCTGACCTGCATTAGGAATTATTGCAAAGACCACACAGACTGCATCAGTGTGCTACGTACAGTCAATTACAATTTACTTTACGTGTCACTTCGGGTGCTTTTTGCAAGTACAAGAACTAACCATTTAGCATTTGATGGGTGTCTGTTACATTCTCAAGACCCATTGCCTAGAACTCCTATAAGCACTGTGCCGAGAGCAGTCCCTGCAAGGCACAGTGGCTCCTAAGGCAGCAGGCAGCTGCTTTCAGTCAAGCCTGCTGCCCCAGCAGAGTCCTTGTTGCTTCCAATGAGACGACATCCTGCTTATCTCAGCCCTGGGTGCTGTGTGCACCCACTCCATCCCAAGAGCCAGCACGTCCGCCCACCTGACACACACAGCATACAATAAAAGCACTCTTTCACCAGGAGCGCCACCGTTATAAACAGGCTGCCGTACCTCTTCGGTATCTTTTCTCCGACTCCTCAGCCTGCTTTAATGCAGTTTCTTCCGCTACCGTAATGTAGGCGTTGAGAAACTGGGTGCTTCTGACGAGAGCGAGGCACCTCTGGCAGAGCTCTGTGGGGGTGACCTGTCCTTCCTTTAGCGCTGCTGAGATCTGAAAGGGCAGCAACAGCGGTCAGCGGCACGAAGCTGCTACCAGACCCCAACCCAGCGCATCTCGGCAATAAAACGCGTCCCTGCGGGGACGCGGTCGGGCCCCGGCGAGCCGCGGTCACCTTGAGCCCGCCCCGCCGGCCGAGCGCAGCACCCGCACCGTACTGCTCGGCCCGGGGCCGCTCACCTGACGCAGAGAAGCACGCAGCATGGCGGCTCGCTCCCCGCGGCCTCACACCTATTCCGGCACGTCCCGGCGCTGCGCCGAGCGCCTGGGCGCCGCCATCTTGCCGCAACACCGAGCGACGCCATTGGCGGAGCGGCCAAGACGGCGGCCGCCCATTGGGCCGGGGCACCGAAGGGGCGCTGAGGATCTGAGAGACGCCCGGCGGGGTCAGAGACCGGGACGCGGTGGCGGCGGTGCCCGCTGCCGGCCATGCTGGCACGGAGAGCGCTGCGCTGGGCGGCGCGGCGGGGCGGGCAGCGGCCGCCGGTGCGCGGCCTCCGCGTCTCTCCGCGGGCGCGGTCCGCCATGCCCTCGTGGGTCATCGACCGGTACGGCCGCAACGAGGTGCTGCGCTTCACCCGGGACATGGTGTTCCCCGTCATTCAGTACCCCAACGAGGTCATTGTTAAGGTGCACGCCGCCAGCTTGAACCCCATAGACCTTAGCATGAGAAGTAAGTGGCGGGGCACGAGCGGCCCCAACCGCGCTTCTGAGAGGCGGGGGTGTGAGATGGCGGGCTGTGATTAGGTGTGCCATATCCCATAATCACATACACCCTTGTTCCTTTGGATTCCTACTGGTGTGATGCTGGAAATGGAGCAGGTGCAGCAGAACTCTCAGGATGTCTGTCAATGTTGCTGCTTAATGAACTTTTTATAATAAAGAGCCGTTTTATGTGGTTTAAGTAAATCACAACAGCAATCTGTTAAATTGTTCCATGGTGATTTATATTCTTACATCTCCTGCATGCTCTTTGTTGGGGGTGGGTGAGAAAACCGTAATTAAGATTTCCTTATTACTTGTAAAATCTCCAATTACTGTAGATTTTATGCATATTTAAACTGTAACAAATGCAGAACGTGCTGAAAATGGGGCATTATATTCAGCCAATTCTTTCTAAATGGAATTGTCCAGTTAATGGATTAAATCCCACCAAGGTACGTAATGGCTAATTTCATATTTTCTAGGTGGTTACGGTGCAACTGCATTAAATATGAAGCGGGATCCCCTGAAAATCAAGAGCTTGGACACTGAATTCCCACTAACGCTTGGTCGAGATGTCTCAGGTGTTATCATGGAATGCGGACTAAGTGTGTCTTATTTCAAACCTGGAGATGAGGTGATACCACTAATATGATTTTTTTTTCCCCCCCTAAAAACACATAGTTAAACTATGTTAAACATAGTTAAACCATGAGCTATTCAGCTGCCTTTCCCTAGTAAGAAAATTCTTATGTTGTTGCACTCTGAATCTGGACTGTCTTGCAGTACCTTCTTAGAACACTGTCTTTGCTACATTTTTTCTGTGACAAACACCTTTCCCTAACTTGTGTCTGAAGTTTGAAACCCTAATTTCTCTTTTGATTTTTAATTTTTGGCAAATTGAAATAGGATTCCTTTACTGAATGTAACTTTTCCACATGGGTGTGATTTTGCGCAGAGAAATTGGTAGTTGTTTTCTGTTTGTTTTTAGGTATGGGGAGCAGTTCCTCCGTGGAAACAAGGCACTCTGTCAGAGTTTGTGGTAGCTAGTGCAAATGAGGTAAACCTGCAAAAATGTGGTTAACAGATGACAAACAAATTTGTAAATACTGATGTTTTCCTTTTTTTTCCTTTGATGCCTGAATAGCTGTCTGTTTCTTGATATTTGACTTCATGTACACTTCTACTAGACATAACTGAAAATGTGCAATAGACAATTTGCAATTCAGTAAAGCTGATTTAAATATTTCAGTATCACGTAGGATCCGCTGTGTGATTTAGATAAGACTGATTTTGTTTCAGGTATCTTTTAAGCCAAAATGTCTCAGTCACGTAGAAGCTGCCTCCTTACCGTACGTAGGTCTCACAGCGTGGTCTGCAATTAACAAAGTTGGAGGACTGAACCAAAGTAATTGCAGCGGGAAAAGGTAAGTAACTTAGTTACTTATCTAGTGCTGGTGCTACAATGTAGTGTTCCTTTTTTATGCTGATCAGCAGCTTGTAAGACATGTCTAGCAGTGCTGAAGTCTGTTATGCCATGGCATTCAGAAAGATCAGCTGGCCTGAAGTAGCCAGGTTCAGTCTGTGCAGCTGCTAAGGAAGAGGCTATTTCAGAGTGAGATTCAGCCTAACTGATGTTTTAAGGCTGCTTGCTGGCACTGCCTCTCCTCCTTTAAATAGCAACTATATAGAAACAGTCCAATGTACATGTATTCTGTGTGACTGTATAGATAATTTAAGGATGGTACCTTTAGGAATTTATTGGGACTGCCTTTCTGCTTGCAAGGCAGCTGCCCAAATATAATATTCTCTCTCTTAAAAACCTCATCAGCTCGCAAAAGGTCTTCTCAGCCACAGAGGTGTGTGTTTCACTGAGATTCACTCCTGTATGCAGGAACAATTTGGGACAGGCTGGTTTCCCAGCTTTTTGGAAAAAAAGTGTCTGGGTCTCATTTGACCAGTAGGACAGAACTCATTTAATAAGGCCAGGAAGGTAGAAGAGAAGGGGAAAATAGGCAAGACTAGCAGCCAAAAAGAAAAAAATTGGCTTTGTCAGCTTGTTAGTCTGACAATGGCAGGTGAAGCTCAGGAGAGGATAAATACTTTGAAAGACTGGAGCAGATTTTTTGCCTCATAATGGAGATGTGTAAATAGGTAGCAAAATAATCACTAAAACTACCATGCTGTCTCAAAAGTTTGTCATAAAAGAATAATTGGACGATAGGAACCTGGGTACCTGACCTCCTCCTGCCTGGGGTGTAAACTGTTGTAATGCAACGCATAGCAAAGGGGACCAGATTTACTGAAATTCTTCACCCGCCTCTTTAGAAAGTAATTGAGAGATGGGTTTTTCATACGTCATGGTAAATTTCATCACAAAAATACAAATTAGCTGTTTGCTGTAAATGTAATGTTCTGGGAAAACAAATTGCAAAATCTGAAATAATTTCAGAGACATCTTTGAAATTAACTTCCAGCTAGTGATAACATACTGAATGTACCATCTTCTTTTTTTCTTTCTTAAGTATTTAGATTATTGTTTGTTATCTTAACTTTCATATGTAAATAGAGTTAACCTAGAAATCTGTTGACAGGCTAACCATATTTAAAGTATCTTGCCAACCTTCAGGTAAGTGTTTAGATTGCTAAAAGTGAAATGCAAACTGCAGTTACACCACGTCTTCACATATAACATTTACTTTAAGGTTCCTAACAAGTATGTAATTGTTCTGTCAATGAAAAAATACAAATTCAAAGCAGTAATCTTGTGAGGCAACAATTTACCCCATGTTTCTTAATTTCTCATAATAATTGAATGTGTTAGCAAGAAGCTGCCTGCATGAGTAATTTTACATTGGCCTTTTTGTCTCCTGTAGGTGTGTGTAAATAGCTATGTAGGATGGTGTGTGAAAGTGTGTCTTATTTTGAAAGAGTACCTGTATTCCTTGAGGAAAACTCCTTCATTGGTACTTTATTGCAGGATTAAGACATCTTGGAAACAACAAGTGTTTCTACTGGTGTGTTCTGTTTTCTTTGCCTCGCTAAGGGGGAAGGGTGGACTAACCACAAGTACTTGCTGTCAGTCCCGCAGTGTGTACCCTGTACTCTGATCTGACAGGACAATCTGCTGCACTTTCCCCAACTTTATTTTTACGAGTTACCTGAAGTGTGCACGTGTTGTTTTTGGTGTCTACTGTTTCACTGCAGCTTTGGTCGTTTTGCCACAGCTTTTATCCTAAATCATTGTAATTTACATCAGTGTTCTTGCACAAGGTAAAAGTGAATGTGCTCGTTGTCCAGAATGTCGAGAATGACTCTGTGGTTTTCATGTTCTCTCTGGATAATAAGCCGATGAACTCCTTGTGGGTGAGGGTCCTGCTTCAGTAGAAAGGGAATATGGTTGTTCAACAAAAGCTGTTAACCCTTCCTTGCTGTATTCACAAAAAGCGTGTTAAAACATGGCCATTTGAGAAGACCTTGAAAGCTTTTATGCTGATAAGGAATAAGGGCCTTCATATAAATGCAGAGTAAACATTTTGTGTGTTAGAGTTTACTGGGAGGAGTTACACTAGGATTATGGTACAGGGGATTGTTGAAATTACACTTCTGGTTTACATGTTTGCAATGAAAGTTGAAATGATACAGTGACCCAGGATTTTTTTTCAGAGAGTGTGTTATTTCATCATTTTGTCTGATGAGAATTTCAAAGTGAGGATAGGTTGCAATAATTCTTGATAGGCTACACTCTTCTTGATGCAAGAATAAATGTTTAGGGACATTTTGTTGGCATAATCAAATGAAATTTGATTTTATTTTTTAACAGCCCTTACACTGGCAAACGCTTTCCCACACCCTTGAGTTACACCAAGCAGTGGGCCCTGTCTCCAGCACTGTACAAAACACTGAGCTGCTGAGCTGTGGCACACATACCTCCTGATTATACAAGGGCTTCTGTGTTGAAAGCATGCATGCAGGTGTGTGACGGCCACAGCAGCATGCACACAGCCCAGGGCAAGTGCTGTGCAGTGTGTGTGAGGGCGGTGACCTGCTTTGTGGTGTGACTTACTTTGTGGTGTCACTTGGCCTGGAGGGTGGCACATTACTCAGTTAAGCTGAGATGCCTTTAGAGCATAGGCATAGTTTGTAAAGCAAAGAGGTGTTCAAGGCCAGGTTGGATGGGGCCCTGGGCTGCCTGGTCTAGTATTAAATGGGGAGGTTGGTGGCCCTGCCTGTAGCAGGGGGGTTGGGGATTCACGATCCTTGAGGTCCCTTCCAACCCTGGCCATTGTGTGATTTTGTGAAAGAGCTTTCTTAAGGTCAGTGTGTACAAAGTTCTAATAATTAAAAGTTTTGGTAGGAAATAGCCCAGGTAACATAACAAACAAAATAAATCTGGACCTTACTTCTACTTTGGGAATAGTGAGCATGTTTATTGAAGCCCTAGCCAAGCAGCTTCCCACAGCTGATTATGTTATATCAGTCCTCAAGCAAAATGTACATTTTGAAGTTAGAGCTTTCTTCAAATTCTGCAGTAGAGGAAATGCCCTTTAGGCATGGAGTAAAATTGGAAAGACAGTTTGACAGGGTGTTTTCTGTTTTTGTTTTTGTTTTTTTTGGGGGGGGGGGGGTTTGAAAGCAGTTACTGGCAGCTCTTGTAACGATAAAGACGAGCTTAACCCAGTGTCTTGAGCATGGTATCCCTGAGACATTTCAAGGATAATCAGATCTGAATATAAAAGTTGCTTCAGACATCTGTTGTTAGAAGCATGGTTCTGAGCATAAGTACATTTTGGCAGGTTTCAAAGCAGCAGGCATTGTGGTTTCAAATTCTTCATCTGAACTCTGCAAGTTTAGATGAGTGAAATAAGGAATAGAATCTGATGAGTTTCAAAGGAGTATCCATTTTAGAATGGATCCTGTGACCAAAGCCAGGTCTCTTAGGTTACTTCAAAGAATTTTTGTCAACTGATACTCTAGATTGTCTAGAGCAATTTTGCATTGTAAAAGCCATTTCCCTCAGCATCCAGCATGGTAAGATATAGAACAGGAACATCACCAGCTTTTGAAAATACTGAAATTTTTCTGGCAAGCAGAAGTTCTGAGAAACATGATTCTCCACATGCCAAGGCTTCATCTTGGATGTACCTTTTGTTCTAGAATTAGTAAACGAGTCCAAAGTTGAAACACCATTTGTAGCTTTGCTTGCAAGGCTTTCTTACTGATTCCCTATTTGAAGTTCAGCTAATTAATAAAAATACTTAGGTGTAATTTTTGAACAGTGATTAGGCTGCTGTAGCTTTAAGGTTTTCACACCTTTGAGATTGCATTCATTTTATGAAATTTAGGATGATGTGTTCAGTTAAAATGAACTCTCTCATAATAATTTGGTGATATGCATCTTTGTTTTCTTACTTGTTTACTAATTTCAAGAAGTGGGCATTTTACAGGGTGTTGCTAAGATGCGCTGAACCAGTACAATTCTGCTGCCATTTTTTCAGATAGTTTAATAGAACTTGTGTAGTGAGGCTGCAACACTGTCATTTGTCTTTTAGATAAACGTTCAGTGATACTGGAAAATTATGTTCCATATGTTCTGAAATCCTTGGTCTCTCTAAGTAACGTGACACTGAACTACTTCTGCTAGATAGCAGCAATTTGTGTAAAATGTTAGCAAAATCTAATTTTTGCTTCAGGGAAAGTGACAACAGAGTCTGGGAGACAGAAAGATTCTTACTGACTTTGTTCCAAACTAAAGCAATTAAATTTGGGAAAGTGTGGACAGAGACAGGATTATCTTTTTCTCATGATAAATGTTGACAGCTCCACTGCCTGGAATTAGTGAAAAGCACATATGAGGAAGTCAGTATGGTTGCAATAGATAATGCTCTTGGCACAGGAAGCAGGATGAGAGCTGTGTTAAATCACATTATTAGGTATCTGAAGAGTTAACCATAAAGTAATACTGAATGACAAATAAGTGTTTTGCTTATAGTGATTTGATGTCGGAGATGTATAAGAATAAATAGTTGCTAAACTGTTTGTTTGAAGAGCTATTCAATAAATGTTCATTTTCTCTTACAGAGTGTTAATATTAGGAGCTTCTGGAGGAGTTGGCACATTTGCTGTACAGGTAATATAACACAGCATGTCCAGGATGCATCTTCAGACTGTTCAGTACAAAGAATGGAAGAGAGTTGAAGGACTGAAATAGGAAGCCACCCATTGAGCTGTCAGAGCTCCAGAAGTTTTGGGACTGGCTCCATTCTGTTTGTGACACTGTATTAGTAGGAAGAAGGGGGCTTTAAAATAATGGGATAGGGAGCGTGGTTACTAAAAGAACACATTTCACAGTTTAAGTGCAGGAATCATAGCATCATAGAATGGTTTGGGTTGGAAGGGACCTTTAAGATCATCTAGTTCTACCCCCTGCTATAGGCAGGGACACCTCCCTGTAGACCAGGTTGCTCAAAGCCCCATCCAGCCTGGCCTTGAGTGCTTCCAAGGAGGGGGCATTCAAAACCTCTAAATTTGAAGAAATCTCTTAATTTGCAAAACTTGAAATTTGTCACTTGTCTTCATTCTCCTTCAGTCATCTCTGCTCTATAAATATGAAAAGAACTTGGCATATGAGTAGAAAAATGATGGAGTATGTAGATGATTGCAGTTGGGATTGTCTGTAAAATGGTAGCAATTATAGCTGTTGTGGGTGGACAGTGATACTGGAGGCATGAGGCTTTCATGAGCAATTTAGGGAAAGAATAGTGACTTACATTAACATTCCATCATTGTCTTTGCCTTGTTGCCTGCTTGCATTCCATCTTTCCAGTTGCCCTAACCTTAGGAGAGTTGACAGTCTTTTGGTAGCCAGTCTTCTACTGAATATCTTTAACTGTGGAAGATCCTCCTTGTATGCTCTCATTTAATTCAGGGATTTTTATTCAAATTGGTGTCACCTTGTGTAGAAATAGCTTTTTCTTGATAATATAAAAAAATATGTCTTGAGAGATTGCGTCATTATGTTCTGTGTTAAAGCACCATAAACATAATGGTTTTAAGAAGCTCTCAGGAGAGTTTTAGTGGTACAGTATTTGCCTGATCCATGATAAAACAGGTGGATAAGTTAGATCAGTGGGAAAGGCTAGCCAACCATTGACTAGTTGTGATTTTTACCTAATTTATCCTATGATTAGTTATTAATTAATCCGGAGTCAATTAAAAAAAAATTAGTGTGAATCTTTTGAATGAGATTTACAGAAGAGATGAATAACTAGCAAAAAAGCTTTTCTTTGCTTTAAGTTCTGAAGCAGAAGAGCTAACCTGACATGCTCCTTGAGATAAACCAGAGATTACTTTTTCTCATTAGTAGTACTTTATTTACAATGAGATAGAGGTATGGAATTCTTAATGAGCAGGTAGGCAGATAAAATTAAATCCCTGCAGTGGTTGATCTGCTGGCAGTTTTACAGATTGTTAGATTTAATGCATAGTCTGAATTACCAGATTCAGAAGATGAACTGAGTATTTTATTTGAAGCCTTATTTATCCTGAGAGCTGGTATTTGCAAATTGCATGCAAAATCCCTCCTCAGCCACCCCAACTCAGTCCTCTACCATTTGCCTTAAATATCAGTAAGTTCTAACCATTGTTGGATATGTGATACGTTACCTTGTGTAATATAATAATGGTATTTTTTTTTCTTCTTAAGTATTTCTCACTAAATTTTAAATCTTTGCCTTTTTTTTTCTTTTTTGCTTTCTGTTTCTAGCTAGTGAAGGCCTGGGGTGCTCATGTGACAGCAGTTTGTTCCCACGATGCTAGTGCACTGATGAAAAAGCTTGGAGCAGATGATGTGATTGATTACAAATCTGGAAATTTGGAGCAACAGCTTAAAGCCTTACCCTCGTATGTGTTTGTGTTGCTTAATACTCAGATGAAGGAGTTGGCCATCAGTCCTTCTGCCTTTTGATTCCGGGCTGCAGTCTGTCAGGACTCCCTCTTTTCCTTTTTCCTTTTTCTTCCCACTTCTAAAGCCTTATTTCCTAAAGCAAATTCTTCTCTGACCTTTTTTTGAATGTAATTTGCCGAGTATTGCAAGCACAGATTTCGTTGTAAGATTAAGCCAGTTAATTGGGTTTATGGAGACAAGCTCGCTTGCACGTGCTTCTAGTGACCATGATTTGATCAGCTTTGTCAGCTTCCATTGTAGGATCTGGGAGTGCTTAAAAAGCCATGAATAAATCAAAACAAGACTCAGGAATCCTCTGTGAGGTTCCTAAATAGAAAAACCGATCTTCTACAGGGAAGAATTATGTCAGGAAGCAGTTTAGTGACTTGCCTCCAGTCCTGTAGCCACTGTGCAACATAGCTGGGAGTGAATTCCTGTAACATTGGGTACAGCTGCCTGTGCTGAATAATCACATTTATGTGGTCACAGCTGATATGTTTTAAGTAGCCTGAGGGGTTTCTCTGGAACTTTTTTTTTTACTTTTGCAGTCTTTCCTTTTGTTTAAACTTGGTCTTCTGTGACTTTTATTTGAAGATGGTAATTACACTGCTGTTTTTAGCTAGGTTGAATTAATCTGGGTGGAAAAATAGAAACCACTCAATTGATAAAATAATTTTACTATTAACTGCTCTACAGAGGTGTGTACCCTTTTACTGGGGTGTGATTGCTAATAGGTCTGAGATCAGTTGTGAGGGTGTTGGTGCTGTCTGTTTGAGCAGAATATACAAAAATTGACAGCTTGCAAGCAGTGCTGTATATGCTAAATTCTGCTCTTCAAGATTTTAAATGCTAAACATCTGTTCTAGCAAGCAGCCATTTTTAGGAGCTGTGAACCTTTGTATGAGTACAGTTTTGTGATGTAGCTAAGCCCATCAGTTGTGTATACTGAGAGGAAGGATCCCATAGCCCTCCTCTTTTCAATTGTACTGACTCTTCAGACTCCATGATGAGCTGTTCTTTTCTGGACCATTAATTTTCACTGTGTTAATTCCTGTTTTGACAGCTTTTAGATAACTCAACTATAACATGAAATCACACCCTTGGAAGACAGTCAGGAAAACTCTTTCTAGAGATAAATTTATTTACGTATTTTTCCTTCTATTTGTGGACTTGTTAGATGACGTATATGCATTTATATAATCTATTATCTATTTATATAATCTATAGTGCATCTGTTCCTATCTGGAGATTGCTGAAAATTTGCAGCAGAGAATGAGAATGAGCTGTGTATCTAACAGAATAGGTACAGTAGCTCCCAGTTGCCACGTTCAGCCCTTAAGATTCATGTGCTGGGATAATAAGAACGAATGCTAAAAGCGTGGCTTGTTGCCAGTGGTTGCATATAACCATAATGTGAAGAAATGATTTTAGACTCCTCGCTTTGAAGTTCTACTTCAAGTAGGGAGATGCAGAGAGAAGATGCTGTCAGTAGAGATAAAATGTCAGTGATTTGTTTATGGAACTTTGGCCACTGGAACTGGCTTCCATGTGAATACAGCATGGACAGAAGATGTTCCTAGTCGGGGCAGGAGTCCAGACCAGACTTCAGAAATACATAGCATTCTGTTGAGTGCTAGGACCAGACCTCAAGAACGTTTCAGTAATTTCAGTCAGAGGGATGAAGAGAGAATGCTCTAGAAGGCTTCAAGCAAATAGAGAATGTTATTGTGCATCTGAGAGTCTGCTTTTTGAGCTAGGGGCCATTTAATTATTGAAACAGCCTCTATCTGCTATGCAGTGAGTGGACAATAACCTGTAACTTTAACTATAAATAAAGCTGGGATTTAGTTGAACTCATAGGGTTTGCTCGCTGCTGTCTTGCAGGCAGATTATTTTAATATACTGCAGTGACAGGTAGAAATGTGATCTACAACCAGTTTCATATATTATTTAATTTATGATTATCTTCCCTGTATCGTGACTTTGAGCCTGTTCTTTGCATGTCTCCAGATTTGATTTCATCCTCGATAATGTCGGTGGATCCACTGAGAAGTGGGCACTAGATCTCCTGAAGAAATGGTCGGGAGCAACATACGTTACTTTAGTGACACCTTTCTTGATCAACATGGACAAACTTGGAGTTGCTGATGGCATGTTGCAAACAGGAGTCACGATAGGCTCCAAAACCGTGAAGGTATGTGACAAAATCCCATATTCTTGAAGGTTGTGCTATGTCCTCATGGCTTCCTTAGTGGCTTAGGCACTAGTCAAGCAGTTCATCTGGAGACATCTTTCTCATTTTCCTCATGCATTGTTAAGTATACTTCAGATGCATTTTGATTCTGTCTCCTTCTGTCTTGCATCAAAAAAACCCAGCATTGTCCTCATATATATATATACATATACATGTGTGTATATATTGTAGTCTAGGGAGCTTTGTAGTCTTGATGTCTTATTGTGTGTTGCCTTTTCCATGTGGCCTCCTAGTGAGTCCTGCTGACAGCTAGCACTTTATAGTGAGCAGAAGAAATCCCTGCCTTGTTGAAGTATGGGTAGTTTTAATACTTGCCTTAGGGTTTCTCTCAAAACATTTACTGATTCTCTTCATCCTATACCAGCACCATGGAGTAATAAAAGTGACTGAGAGTGGCTAAAAAGTCTTTCATCTCTTCCATGTTCGTGTGCCTGTATGGTGATACTGATTTTTCTACTTTAAAGCATTCACGCAGTGAAGCTTTTTAGAATTTGTTCTTCTCTCAACATGTGTATTTGCTATCCAAGTGACTGCTTTTCAAGTTGTTTCCATGGTATTTCTGTGATGAGGCTGAGTGAGATTCTAGGTCCAGTAACAATGTTTTCAAAGGAAATTTCAAAAACAAAAGCCTGGAAAGAAGCCACATAACATGATGATGATTTCTCAGTTTGCATGTTTTCATGGTGAAGAGCGTTGTATGGCACACATTAGAAGTTGTCTGGTTTTGGCAGATGAAGACTCATGCCTCTAACAGCTTTCTCAAGGAAAGTGCTCTTGACTTGTGTTTGTGTGATCTTCCTGGAATGCTTTTTGTGTGAGCTGCCATCTGTCATCAGATGGTGACGACTTTGGCAGATGTGATTGTGGAAAATTTAATCACTGACACTGAGGTGGAAAGTTCTAAATGTCATATTGGTAGATTTATTTCACCCTTTTTGTAAATGTGTATAAGCATACAGTGCCATTTCTCTCTTACATAAGAAATAATGCTATTTCCAGCTGCAGAGGCAAGGTGGTTGTTTTTCTCAAGTAGCTGACTTTTGCAACTGGACACAAAATTCACCCTGATCCTATTGTGGTAATACAGCATCTCTGTCTGTGCATTTAATGCACGTGCTTAGATAACTTTTCTTTTTTAGACACTAGCAAATAATGTGCATATTTTTCCATTACATTGTTTCTCTGATGCTTCTGCCCTTTCTTTCAGTTCCCATTTCAGTTTCCTCTCATTATTTAAAAATGTATATTTGTGATCTTTCTTGCAGCATCTCTTGAAAGGAGTCCATTATCGGTGGGCCTTCTTTATGCCAAGTGGACCAAGCTTGGATGAAATTGCACAACTAGTTGACTCAGGAAAGGTATGTCAGCAGCGGTTACTTAGGTTTTTGTGCTGAAAGAGATGCTGCTCTGACTCAAAAAGGGCTTAATTGGCAATTAAGTAATACATTGTTACAAGTCACAGCAGAGAAGACAAGTTAACAACTGATTTGCTCCGATTTCTAACTTCTGCCTTTGGCATTGAGTTTAGGTATTTATAATGCTTGAGGCTGTCTTTCTTTCTCCCTCTTCATCCTACTCCTTTTAAAAATCTCAAATGTAATAAGTTGTGAGGAAAGAGTGCCCAGTGATTTGGTTCTTTGCTAGTGGGAATTATTTAGCGTAAGCTCTGCTGTTGAAAATGATAAGCTTTTGGAGGCCTTGGTTGGTTCATTTGGTCAGGATGAACATGGCTGCATGTATGTCTGCATATGCAAATCCCCTGGCACAGAAGAACAGGAGTCCTACATGTCATGTGCAGAATATTCAACTTATCACAGACAGTGAGTGATCTGTGCTGTCTAATTATTTCAGTGCTTCAGAGTATAACTGTGATGATTCAGCACAATGACCTGAAATCCTGTGAGTGTGCATAAGCTTTTGGGGAATCTCACAGTACCAGATCTTTTCAGGCTTATGAACTAGTTACAAAATGCATGTGAGACTGAGAGGTCAACCAGTTTGTGTATTGGAAAGCAGTTTGTGTATTGGATATGTGGTGCTGTAGGTCCTGGCATGTTCTCTTCTGGGGAACTTTGCGTCGTTAACGTTTTCAGAGCACAGAATACAAACAGTTGCTGTTCATCTTTTTGCATGGTGCCTAAGTAGAGGAGTATGCCCTGGCAGCTCATCGTTCTGGTAAGCCAATTGCCAGACCCTCTTGCACTCAAAATTTGGGCATACTCAGAACAATCTAATGCTCGCAAGGACTATTGAGTTTGGATTGCCTTTATTCTTTATGCATTAAGTTCTAAAAACTCATATCTCAGTATCTGCTTGCTTATATTTGATTTTCCAGTGCTGCTGCTCAGAATAAGAATCTTCCTAAATTCAGCCACTCCTGTGTTGTGAATGGGGTGCTGCTGATACAGCCTGTTTCCTAAAAAGTTGTCTACTCATGAACAAAGGTTATAGAAGCAAATAAGCTGTGGTGAATGGCGATCCTTGTTGGTTTTACACCACTCCACATTGCACTGTGTGCAGTGCTTTATGCCTTATTTTACAGTCTAGGTAAAAAGCCCTGGAAGATGCTTCTCATCGTGTGAGTTCATCCAATCATACAACTGACTTACAGTTGACTAAGAAACAGATACGTGCTTGCCTTTGTTCTTACTGTTTGTCCTGATCCTTAGCCAGTCACAACTTGTTTTGTGTTCTGCTCCTGCTTCTGTTCTGCAAAACAGAAATGCAGAATATGCTCATGAAAGCCTTTAAAAAAATGCCTGTTTATGCAATAGGGATGGGGCTTAATCAGTATTCATCTGACTAATAATATGGACAGCTGAGTTGTAATGTCTTTTAAAATGTACGTCATACATACATGAATATCCCAATGTAGTTTTTGTTGTAAGACAATAGTGAGGATAAAGATGTTTGCCTGTTGTGGTTTTTTTTTTTAATTCTGTATTGACAAGAGCAGGTCAAAATGACACACTGTAAATCTGCATTGTCGTCATCCTATCACTATTGTGCTCTACTTTCTGAAATATTGCCAACACTGCTGTTGTCAACTGTCTTGCATGTCCCAGATGTGGTCCATATATGCAGCTGTTAGTAAGACTGAGTTTTGTTGTCAAGACAGGAGAGTTTCCTTAAATGGACAGATCATCCATTCAGAAGAGTAGGTATTTGGAAAAAGGGGGAGAGAGAGAGATGTATTACTGTAAATTATGGTATACTACCTCCAACAATGTTTGTGTTTTAGTTGGAGTGTAATAAATGAGAATTTTAGGGACAAAAAGGGCTGTTGAAGTGCAGGGAGAAGGCTAGAGGATGGTAGCAAAGTGAGCTTGTGTGGTTGAACTTAGTTTTGAGAGAACACATGTTGGAGCGTTGCAGATTTTGGTTATTCTGAGACTTCAGTGAATTGGCCTTTTTTCTGTTAGAAACACCTTGGGATTGGGTGACGTGAATAGGAGACCTACTGAAAAAGGGGCATGTTTTAGGATAGCATAAATCTTGAAGGTGGATTTAAATGAAGGAAATTAAAAAGAGGTGATGCTATAGTAAGTGAAGCTTTGGAGAGCATACTGATCAGATCCATGTCAGATTGTTTTTTTTTTTTTTCTTGAAGTTCTTCTGCACCAATACAGTTTAGTTCCGTTGTGTTCCATCATCTTCCTCTGTGAAAGCAAAAGGAGTCCCCATCTTTTCGTGGATGAACAGGCACGAAGCAGGGTATTTTAATATAAATAATTTAATATAAAGATGCTTGGTTTTTACACAAATAACCTTTGCAACAAGGAATAGAGATTTGCAAAATGTCAGGATGAGTTCTTTTAGCAGCCTTTTTTAACAGGGAGAAGAGGGGAAGAATTTGATAAACTGGTTGGGCAAAGAAGGAGAATAATGTTCTCTTTGTAATTCATTTGCGCATCAGCTCCGTTCTGGGGATCATAAAATCATTTTCAGCTTATGAGCTGTTTTCTCTGCCTTGCAGCAGAACGTCTTGCCAAGAGCCTGCTGTGAGACTGGTGAGCTGGGAAGCTGCTGTGGCTGTGATGGGCACAGAGAAAGTTGAGCATTTCCTTGTCAGATTTTAGAAATACTTGCTACTTTATAAACTGCTGGGATGTCCCTGTTGTGGGTTCAACTTAGGCAGTTAATTACAAGCCAGTGAGGGTTGGCTTAATGTAGGCTCTGCCAAATCAATAGACGAAGTGTGTGTCAGAAGCAAGGGATCTCTTCCATGGCAGAGCATTCATTTTGAATTACAAGGTTCTCAGTTAAAGACAACTGAAATCAATAAAGTCCTTGGTTCAGAACATAGATTTTCTGGCATACTGGTTGCTGAAACATCATCACTGGTCTCTGATGGCAGCTTTGTCATGGAACAGCTTTCTAGGAATTAGTTTGATGTATCTGTTGTTAGTGTTGAGGCTTTTACACTGATCATCTTTAATTTTTTTTTTTACATAACTTGTAAATTTACCGACCTCGTGTCGTTTTTCTACAAATTTCTGTAGTTACAATTGAGCACTTACTTTGCCTTTTATAAAGCCTGGTGGAGGCTGGCTCAAGAGACTCATTAGAGAGTAAGGGGAAGTGCTAAGAATGTTGTATGCTCTTGCTGGACCATAACAGGGTGAGGGTTAGTGTACAACCCTACAAATGAGATTTGAAAATCTCATTTTTAGTTAAAGTGTCTTCTAAATACAGTGTAGGTTTATGTGTGGCTTACTACTATTCTCAGAGCAAAGTTGTACTAGATGGACAAAGATTGATTACAGAGAAGTAAGGCTAAAGGAAGTAGTAGAGTCTCAGAAAGAGAACTGAATAGGGCATTCTTTGTATTGTTGCCTTTCTAGATAAATGTTACAGCACAGATACACATAAGCAAAGCAATTGCATATCTGTAACTTGCATAACTTCTGTGCAGCATCATGTGTATGTGTTGCTGCTGAGAGAAGTTGTGTTGGATTTAGTGGTCTGCTTTACCAGATGGAAGGATGGGATGCTCACTGTTCTTTGGCCTTCCTGACCTTCTTCCTGTGCAGAGCTGTACAAGCTCGTTCCAATGACCATCCTTCCCTGTGTGCTAAACTGCAAAGCTTGTACCTTTTCCATTAATTTAGACTAATTTTTTTGTTGTTGCAGTGCTTTTGCTTGCCAGGTTGGTCGGCTAGAGCCCAGAAATATTAATCAAGGAGGGGATGCCAAAGACTAATCAGTCCTTCCATCTCTTCAAGAAGGGACCTCTATCTGCATTTAATTATGGCCAACAAAAACGTAGTGATTTTTATTAAAAGGCATCTGCACCTCTTCCTACAAGCGATAAGGCTCTTTATGAAAGCTCTGGGGTTGTGTCATTAAAGTGTCTGAAGAAGACTGAAGGAAATCTTGGGAAATGGAGAAATAGCATTTGAGCATGACAGCTCACGTCAAGCATAATGAGGTCTGGAAAACTTTCAGCAGATATCTGGTATTTAATCAAATGTGCTGCTGTCTGAGCCTGATATGATTGCACATTCTGTAGCGAGTTACTACTGGTCTCCTAGCATAGCCAGGAACCACATCCAGCTCAACAGTGAACTGTGGGATCAAGAAGACAGCTCTTGCCTGTTGTGAGTTGAGTTTGCTGAGACAGAAGATGATGCAGGTCAGACAAAGATATTTTCATACTATTTGTAGAATATGTAATATGCTTTCAAAGGTTTTGTACAACTGTAGAAAAGTCTGTTCTGTCTTGTTGATATGGTTGTGTTGCCCTGGATCACCAGCAAAAACAGCAGAACGGCTGCCATGAACATAACTGCTAGGGAATTCTTGAAGACAGAGCTGCATTTTGCTTTACTTAACAATTTTTTCGGCACAGTTCAATAGTAACCAAACCCAGGATCTTCTTCCTCACTTCTGCTGATTTAAACTTGGGTTAGCCTGGCACACGCTGCCCCTCTGGGCTTGTTCCAGTTTCTTATTGCTCCTTATTGTGTTCTATAGAAGCTGCTGCCAAGGCCAATTAAGGAACATGAGATTTTTAAACCTCTTCTACACTCTGAACCATAGCCTGCTTAATTGGGATTTATCTTCTAGCATTTTAATAATTGTAGTTGATACTTATGAGTTACTGTGAGCTGCTGTTACATGCTTGATATTAAAGAATGCTTCTTGGCTTGACATATTAACAAAGACTGGTAACACAATTGTTTGTAAGAGGACCATGGGAGTAGCCATTTTTTTTTTCCATGAGATGACAATGAAGTATTGAGCAGATAACTGCATGTTTAATTACAGGATGCAGGCTGTGCTATGTAATGAGTTCTGTTCAAGTCTCTCATTGACACTGAAGGGATACTCGCTGAAGGCCAAAGCAGAGCATCAAGCGCTGCATTTGTGTGTTGGCTCCTACACTGCATCTAGGCATTGTGGTCATGTCTTTACCTTCCTGCTCAGCTAAGTCTAAATGGTGCACTGGTCTTTTCCATTAAGAAAGCACTTGAGTGTTCTGAGGACTGTTGGAACACATCACAACTCTCTCCGCACACATGGGAGCGCCCAGTGCAGAGCATGCACATGAACTATGCCCAGACTCACAGCCAAGACATAATTCTTGTGTATGAGGAGATGGCAGCTGGGAGGGAGTCTCTGCAAAGCTGGACTGCCCTGTGATGTGTGCACAGCCACCCTTCATGAGCCTGGGGAACAGCCAATGCACTGTCATTGCCCTTGGCGTGAGAAAACTTTTGTTTTTGAGCTAAGGTTGCTCTGTGGATCTCAGGTTTGGTAGGTTCTAGCTGTCCCTCCAGTGGCAGGAAGCAGCTACAAACTTACAGGAATTGGTTCCTGACAGGCTCTGCTGTGTCTGGAGTGAGATTGGAGTGGGATGGAGTGCAATGCTGCTCCTGTGCTCTGTGTAGGACAGATCAGCATGCCTAATCAGCATCAACTGTGACTCTTATTTTTTTGAAACACGAAGTTCATTTCGAGAAACCTAGATTCATTTCTAGTATGTTCAACATCAGAGAGAATGGAGAGGAGGAAAACACCTCTCAGCCCCAGTCTGTTTTCAGAAAAACATTTCAGTGCAGGTGTGTGTAATCCTTTCTCTCTCAGACTTTAGTTTAATCCCTTTTCCCTGAACAAATAGGTGTCCTCTGGCAAAGAACTGATGTGTGGCTGTAAATAGGCAGTGTTTGTATTATCCAGTTAATCTCCATTTTTTTTTATTTTTATCACACATTCAACAAATAGCAGACGCTTCCCTGCTTGTTTGTCTGCTCACAGGAAGAAATTTTATCTTAGTCAGTGGATTATGGTAAAGGCTGAGTGAATCACTGTGCTGTGACATGGTCAGCCCTTTTGGGGTTATTCAAACAATGGGGCTGAGCAGCCAGCCAGATAAAATGTTTAATGCTCTAGATTGTCGGGATCATCAATTCAGTATTCATGTCTCTCTATAGCATTGCCTAAAGCCAGAGTTTAAATGGAACTAGAGGTTACATCAACGTAGCAGATGGGCTTTCAGTGCTTGGTGGTTGCAGTACGTACGGTGTTTTGAACTGTGGGCTAAACTTGGGGTTCCTCTGAATCCCTGTGTGATGCTTTTTCACACGTGATGCTTTGAACTTCACTTAAGGGGGAGTTCTGTCAGGGCTGTAAGCTGCAATCCACAGTACAGGACTGCAGGTAGCAGAATGGTTGAAAGTGTTCTTTTGGCTCAACTACTGCATGTGTCTGAAGCAAACTCCTGGCACCCTGTGCCTTGCAATGCCGCGTGGCTGAACTGCATTCTTCCTGTGATCTCTTTCCCTCCTCCCAGCCCCTTGCCCTGTGAGGGTCAGCTGTGTCCATGTGTTTCCTTGCTCTTATTTTTCTGAACAGAAGCACATCTCTGCTGCCATTAATGGTAACTGCTTGTGCAAGTGCTGCACGTGTGCTTGGCTCACCAGGGTTACTGGATTGTTGGTTTTTTGGTGTCTTTTTTGCTTTTTTTTTAAGGCTTTGGCTATGAAAGCAAGGGTTGGTCTTCTTCAGAACAGTGACTGAGGAGCAGCACGTTCCTCCTGCTGATTGTCACAGCAGCTGCAGTTTACTCTGATGCTTGCTTAACCCACAGGCATCCCATGCAAGTGGTTTTGAGGCCTTGTCCCCAACTCCCGATGCTCAAGATAATGTTTTCATTCTGTATTAAACGTGGTTTTCACTTGAACTTAGTTATGACCCACAGCTATTTCCTGGTTGAGCAGCAGTGTTAAACAGCATCTTTCTGTCCCTTTTGTTGCTTTTTACTCCTCCCTTTGCTAGGGGGTCTGGCTGCAGAGATTGCTGTGATTAAACAAGGGGAAGGCATTAACCAACCTCCTGCCCTGCAGCGTGGCAGATTGAAGGCACTTAGTGAATTTATTGGCACAATTGCTTTCTTTAGGAACTGGCTGTGAGTTCTTTATCTTTGAAGGGATTCATTCCTTCCTACTTTTCTGCCATGTGACATTTCTGCTAGGCATGCGTCGACATAACAAAAGGGAGAACCTTAGAAACAAAATTAAGATAGCGGTATAATAGTTTGATTATTGTTGTTTTAGAATACTGTTAAAACAAAAAGTAGTAGTTACTCTAGTGCAATAATTGGACTTGAAGGTAATAAAGATAAGTGAGAAGAGCATGTTTATGTGTGCTTAGACAACTTCTGGATTGCAATTGTGCTGTTGGGGAGGGTGCTGGATACCTAGAACCCAGCTTGTGAAGTGTGTATTATGAGAGACCTTTCCTTGGTAGTGCTGTGTTCTGAACAGCAGTCTGTGTAGGTACTCCACCTTCTGGTAAAAGAAAGCTTCCAAAAGAAAGTGCTGCTCTGATGCTGACACACTAGTTGTCTGATTTCCCTTCCTGGCAAAGCACATGTCCTGCTGAGAGGGCCATTACCGGTTCTAGGAGCGTTAAGCAAGATAAGTGTGCCTGGTGGTATCTGCAAGGAAAAGGCCTGAAAATATTTTTCAGTGATAAAAGTAACAAGGACACTTTCTAGCACAATAAGAAGAGTGTAGAGTGTTTGGATCTTTGATTCTTACAGTTTCTATTACTGAAAGAGCTGGCTGCACACTCATCTATTGCTAATGTCCTCTGCTAAGAGGAGTGGGATCAGTTCAGGAAAGGAAGAGCATGTACTGGGCTGATAGGGGGGGATACAAGGTAAGAGCCCTGCCTCAGGGTAGGTGCTCTGGCAGCAGTTGTGTAAACAGGGCTTACTGTTGCCTCTGGCAGGGTGACTCAGAACATGGTGAAAATAATTTTCAGAAACAGTGGGGATTTCTTCTCCCTCCACTGGCATACTGCAATACCTAAAGAAAGTGCTGGTGGGGTTTTCTGGCTTCTTAGTCGCTGGTGGGCACAGTGAAGTGGTAGTTTCACCTTCATTATTAGTGATTGCTCTAAAACAATCCAGAAGGCTACTCTACAAAATTAATGCCGAAACAGCAGTGGATGCCAGCCAGGTTCATGATCTATGCCAGCATGAAGACACAGTGGCTGAGTTTTCAAGTGTATCCACATGATTCAGCAACACTGTACTTTCTCTTTGTACTTCATTTGTAACCAGGTCCCTTGAAGATACTAGATTCAAAAGTATCTTAAAACATTGAAACTGTTGAAAGATTCTTGGTTTAACAAGAAAAGCCTACCTACCTGGGAGGTTAAAGCTTTGCACCACGCTTTACTTTTCGTCCTGCGCTAGGGCTCTAGAGCTATTAAAGATATTTCAAAACTTGGGGAGAAAGCAAAAACTCTTCTCCTGCATGCAGAAGAGTCCCTGAAAAGAAGCTAAAAACGTGGTGACTGCACTGAGCAACTTCTGCCCTAAGTAATATTAAAAATCCTTCTCCTTTCCTTAAACAGTGTGAAGGTGCTAAAACAATGCCATTTTATTCCTAATGCAGTGATGCTTTGTTCTGCAGGTTCAGCCAGTTATTCAAGAAGTCTTCCCTTTTTCTGAAGTTCCAAAGGCCTTTCTGAAACTAGAAGAAGGACACGCACGTGGAAAAACAGTGATTGATGTCATTAATAAAAAATAAAGCAACTCCAATTGTTGTTGTGCCTTCAGTCACATGCTTAACTGGTAAATGACACTTATGAGCTTGGAGCTCTTGTTCTCTGAGCAGTTCCAGCTAAATACTGCAAGGGTGAGACAGTGTCACCTGACTGTCCATGCAGAACCCACGCCATCCTCTTCTCCTTTCCTCAGTTTTGTTTGCCTTTAATATACATAACATGTATAACAACTCAGTCTGGTTCATTCTCAGAACTTGTAAACTTCTGTTTGCATTGCTGGCTCAAGACTGTACTTCAACTTTGATGACCAAATCTCTCATGGCATAACTGAGTAGCAGCACAGAACAAAATCACTGTAAGTAATAATTACTCCAGTTGCCTGACTCTTGATAGCAATTCAGCTGATTGTAGTGTTCATGCAGGACAGCCAGACATGATTTGGCCAGTGACCAGGCCTTGGTCCTTCCATGCCCCCTATCACAGCTGCTGCTGTTGAAGTGTTTGAAGCTGTTGGCCTGTTTTTAACACCACCAATGTGTCAGAGACACACGTGCCTTACTTACCTGCAGCTGCACAGGTAGATGAAAGGAAAAGTGGTAGCCTCCTAATTGACACCTGCACAGTTCCTGTGGTGCAGCTATGGCCATGGAAAAACCATGCCACGCAGTGCATTACTGGGGATAGAAGCAGCAGCCATGTGCTAATGCAGACCCCTGTGCAGTGAGCACCTGTTTATACAGGAAATGCACCTCTTCCTCAGAGCTTGCAGCTGTAGCAGAGGAATTAGTGCCAGAGAAGATCACAAGATAGAAGCAGAACTGTCAAACGTCACCCTTCTAACTTAAAAATGATTTCAGTAAATTGTTATCTAATTTAAATTTATTTGTGAAATGCTATATTACATATAGCAAGAGCACATTGGTATGACAAAGTACCACTATTTGGAACCAGTAACAAATCTTCTATGAAGAACTAAAAGCAGCACATTCCAGAGCAACAAAACTTCAGTACTTCTGTACAGGAGGAGGAAAATTAGTAAGGCACTTCCCTCTGGGGCGGTGACAATGCAAGCATATGTGTCCTTTGAGGCAACACAACAGTAATGAAAATGTTTCTTTTGAACAGACTTACTGTGCAAGACAAAGGGCTGGGTGCTCCTAGGAGCAGCATGTAATAACACTGAGCTAAGCCAGAACAAAACACAGCAGCATAGTACAAAAGTTTTTTTTCATATTTTACTTTTCTGCCAATATTATTATGGAAAATTAACACAGAAGCCAGAGCGTAGGCCAAAAGTTGGTGGCTAAAAGGCTTAGGTGCCTAGGTGCTTAGGTGCTTTCGAGTCATGGTTATTGATGGTTTCCCTTAAGAATTCTTTTTTTCTATATAGGAAATGATTCTAGAGTTCAGGAAGACTGTACTTACTGGAGCTATTTTAAAAGATAAACTGTCTTGGCAAAGAAGTCAAATATATGTAACTAAAAATTAGGCAGCTTAGGAAATGGGCAGGCAAGTTCTTCACATTCTGATAAGTTCTTTTGTCAACCCTCTCTTTTTCTAACAACCATCCACTCATTTATATCCTCCCTTTCTAACAACCATCCACTCATTTATATCCTCCCTCTACCTGAGAAAATCTAGATTATTTTTCTTCTTAATTTAGGACTTACTACTTTAGCATACTAACTATATTTGAAACCACATGTTAAAAATTCTTTGGATCTGCTGTTTGCTAGTGGTCTTAAGGTTTCAGTAAACATACGTTTGTTACAGTGAGACAAATATATTAAATTTTCAGTAGTGAATATTCTTCTATACTACCAGCCAATTGGCCTAAATTGCTATACCGTATACACATTGCACTCCTGTCCTTTATAAAATAAGCTTTAATTATTTTAGCCCTTAGTTAAAAAACAAAAAACACCTTTAAAAATAATTTAAAATTACACTTCTTAACTGTTCTGGATTATGTACTCACTGATGTGATTGTAACTCTGGGGCCTCTCCCACCTCTGGTTCTTCCCACTGCTCTGAAGCATGCTACTGTTCTCTATCTCACAGAGTTGCAATGATTTAAAAAAAGGTTGAGAGATACTCAAGCTTTTATAGGGATAATTATGTTCGGTAGAGAGATGTGAAATCATTCTGTTGCTTGTTCTTTGTAAAGCTGAAAAGACAGAACTCTTGATCACGCATCCTTCAAAGCTGGCAGTGCCAATTCTAGTGTCCAGAACAGTGCCCAATTCAGACATCACCTTTCTCATACGGAATTACACAACCAGTGGTTCCCAGCACTGCGTTAACTTTTCTTCGTTGACTGTGTTGACAACAACATGATCACGATCGTATTGCGTGCCCCCTGTAAAGAAGAATTCAAAGTGCACAGATTAGCACTGACCTAAGAGGCACACTGTGTTCTGGGTTTCAGGGCTACTCTAATAACTACTGATGTAGATGGCTTTTCCTTCTCCTAAGGCACTGAAAATACAAATTATATTCATTTTCATCACCACCAGTTTTTGGAATTCCCTTTGAAGCAGGGAGATCTGCCTGCTCCTCTCCACCTCCGTCACTAATTCACCACTTTAGCTTTTTCAGCCTGAATGGACAAGGAAGAAAACACTGTAATACAGTCACATCTGACTCCTTAAAGACTGCCATTTCCCAAAAATCAAAGTTAACTGTTGAGTTTCCCTTCAGTGGTTGTCACTTTGTTCTAAAGATTACATTTACACTATGAAAAAAGTCCTGCTGTTAACAGAAGCAAGACTATACAAAAAAAAAAAATATATATATATATATATATATATATATAAAAATATATGTATATATTAGAACAAGCCTGGGGATGAGGTTGAGTCTCCTTTATTCTTCACACTGTCACCTTATGTTTTGACCAGCTGCAACACAGGTTGCCATACACAGAACACAAGCAATGTTGAGCTGTTCCCAGTGGGAGTTGAGCATACCTGAATGTAAAATATATCCATTTCTTAGATAGGCTTAATTTACTACTCGTGGTACACAGTGCCAAATGTGCTCCCATAGAAGAGGAGCGCTACTACTATTCTCACTTGGACTCAGAAGCAGAGGAAAGTTCAACTAGAACTGAAAGTCAGAGCTGACTGCTTTTGATCTCATATGTACTGCAGAAGCACAAACCACGTGCCTTTCACATGGTACCACCCCTGCTAAAGCTGGTACCATTCCACTGTAAGCAGCCATCTGTACAGAACATTGGGACATTCCTACAGACACCCATCTGTCATTCTGCACCCTCTCCCATGCCTCCCTACAACCTCCTTATAGGAAAAGAAATGCCTAGCAGCTGGAAGCCTCCTGTGATTATACAAATACAGACTCTAACAGATCCTAGAAATAACAGGCCAGGTGTGTGTAATTGGAGTCCTACGTGGTTGTGCACATTTAATAGCAGATCTTTTGTACTAAGGTAATGCCATTTCAGTCACCTTAGCTGATCTCTGCTTCAGAGATCTGGGGGAGGCTTGCTGGTGCCACTGTCCTAGATCAGAAAGGATCTCTGAGAATCATGGAATCATTAAAGTTGCAAAAGACCACTAAGATCAGCTGGTCCAACTGTCAGCTCATCCCCACTGTGCCCACTAACTGTGTCCCTCAGTGCCACATCCACATGGGACAGTGACTGCAGCACCTCTCTGGGCAGCCTGTGCCAACATGATTCACATCTTTCCCATCACCAATGAATGACTAAGAAGCAGTAGAGACACAGCATAAATATTGGCAAATTTCTTCAGAAAAAAAACCACCAAAAAACAGAGATCAAATACATCCACAGGAAAAAGCTTTAACCTGCAGGCACAAAAAAATAACGTTGGCTACATCACTCAGTTATCACTGCAAGGCAGGAAGTACTTTGTAAGCAGTGTTCGGTAAAATATAAGTGTAATAATGGAAAAAGATCAGATTTCTTTCAGTAGAACCTGGGGTTATTTGCTATGATGAGAGCCGTGCTCTAGGCAAGCCGCTGCACCATGCCGAGTATCCACTGGGTGGCATTTGTGCAGCCAAACAGCCACAGCCGTTTACTAAAGAGTTCATTACAGCTCCATTTGTGGGCAAGACTGGATCAGCAGAATTGGCACAAAGAGATGATGATCCTATTATGCTTTCTCAAATAAATGTACTTACAGAACGGGTCTGTACTTTTGTCATCAGACCTATCCATTATGAAGTTCATCAATTTTAAGTGCAAAATATGTGATGTGCTTTTAATGTGATTAAGTGCACACTGCGTGGTAGTACTCTGCTTTTTGGTGCAACTGACTACAGAAAAAAAAATGTTAGCAGACCCGACTTGAATTAGGACTGTCCTTTGAACTGAAGTCTTTTTGATAAGCTTTACATTAATCACTGCCAACTTTGTAGGGCTGTAAAGAGAATTTATGAGTATTTGTGTCAACACTGTATCACAGTCAGACATTACATAGCCCTTGTCTTACAGTTCCGCCTGTCCCAAAGTGCTGACTGGTGACTGACTTTTTTTTTTTGATTGTTGTAGTTAAAGCCACAACATCAATCCAGAATTGATTTTAAAACTGCTAAAAAGAAATCAACAGCAATAAAAATGATTATTCCCTCCAAAAAAATGCAGTTATGTAAGAACATCTGACCATGATCACTGTGCTGCTTTATCAGACCTATGAAATTGTGAAAGCAAACCCTGTTCAGAAACAGTACCTTCATGAAGCAAAATTGGTTGTGACAACTACAGTAAGATGTACCTTGAATACAGGTTGAAATTCTGTCACAGCAGCCTAATATCATGTTCACAACATAGGTATGGCCATTAATGAACAAATGAAAAAACTTTTTTCATCTATTCATGTCAGTTTACAGTGCTGCCTTTGCTAATATCCTTTGCCTATTGCATCTACAACTAATGTATAAGAAAAATTGCTCTATACAAATTAAAGTTAATGAGAAGCTAGGTAAGAAAAACTTCGCTTCAGCGTTTTTAAATAATTATATTCACATTACCCAATGCTGAGT